TTAGCTTCATACGTTTGTGTGTTATTTTCAGGCAGTCTCCCTTCTTGCGTGTGTCATCCATAGATCAGTCATACAGATAGCAAACAGCCAAGAGAAAGGCTGCTGACCCTATCAAAGTATGTACTTAGTGTGCACTCTCATTCACTTAATTTAGCTTATCTGTGGAGTTCCTTAATTACCTTTGTTATTGCTTGTTAAATGTAAACTGTCATGTGTTAAAATTGTAGTGCTGGCATTTTGTCTGTTAAGGAGCCTTTTCCCAGTCATCAAGTGAGTTGTGCTACTGCCTTGTGTATATTCTGCTGAGACAAGGAATGAGAGAGTTTCCATCTTCATGTGAATGATGACAGTGTTGGGGCAAAAGTTTGAGCTTTTAGATTTTTTTTCTATTCATTCATGGGATGAGGGCATCGCTGGCTGGGCCAGCATTTATTACCCATCCCTAATTGCCCAGAGGGCAGTTCAGAGTCAACCACATTGCTGTGGGTCTGGAGTCACATGTAGGCCAGACCAGGTAAGGATGGCAGTTTCCTTCCCTAAAGGACATTAGTGAACCAGATGGGTTTTTCTGACAACCGGCAGTAGAGTCATGGTCATCATTAGACTCTTAATTCCAGATATTTATTGAATTTAAATTCCACCATCTGCTGTGACAGGATTTGAACCCAGCTCCCCAGGAAATTACCTGGATTAACAATTCAGCGATAATACCACCAGGCCATTGCCTTTCCTAGATGTCGGTTAATGCAGCCCACTAGTTTGATTTCTTTTCTCAGATGACTGCATTGTTTATTTTCTTTATTCTTTTACGGGATGTAGGTGTGGCCTTGCAGAAAGGCCTGCAATTGTTGGCAATCCTTTGTGTCCTTGAACTCTTTCACTCTTTATTCTTTCATGGGATGTGGGCTTTAGAGGCAAAGCCAGTAATTGTTATCCACGTCCAATTGCATCACGTGAACTGGGTGGCTTGCTAGGCAATTTCTGAGGGCAGTTAAGAATCAAATATATTGCTGTGGAGTCTGGAGCCACATGTAGACCAGTCCAGGTTAAGGATAGCAGATTTTCCTTCGGAAAACTCATCAGTGAATCAAATGAATTTTGCAATATTCGACAATGGTTACACAGTTGTCATTAATTCTTTAAATTCCACATGTAATTGAAGTAAAATTTCCCTCTCTGCCGTGGTGGGATTTGAACCCATGCTGCTGGAGCATTAGGTAGGCACTCTGAATTATTAGTCCAGTGACGTTATTACCCGAGTAGAATAAGGGGACATTCAAGCACTATATTTTTTGATGCTGTCAGATCAGCTCATGAAATTTATTTTAAAGTAGCTACATGAGAACATTACTGACTACAAAAGGTGGTGGGGTCACTGTAGTATGGAAGAACAAATTCTTCCATTCCTTTGTGTCAATTGTAAACATCATTTTAAGATACTGCCACAAATCAGGATAACGTTTCTGAATCTACTTATGGTTATGCCAAAAAAGATTTAAATCATCCCTGTCTTTTGAATTGAAATGATATCATGAAGTACACAATCAGAAAGTTTCTCTTGACCTTAAAAGACCTTTGAAAGTATTTGTGAGACTTTGAAATACAAAGGCTGTTCTTTTGAAATATCGTCTCCTCTTTCTCACCCCTCTACGGGGTATGTTGCTTCTTGGCACCCACAATATTGTGGCACCCACACTGAAGGGACCTGTTATCATTGTACTTAGCAAAATGAGACATTTTTATGTGCTCTTCATTCCTGTGGATTTCACATCTGTTTCCTTATTGCAAAAATGACATAAATACATGGGCACGCTACTATAAAGGTAATGTTACTGGAATGCTAATCCAGATGCTTGGACTAATATTCCTGAGACTTAAATTCAATTATACTACAGCAGTTGAGAGCAATTTCAATTTACTACATAAATCAGGATAAAATTATTAAGCTAGTGTCAATTGTTGTGACCAGGAGAGATATCGGATTGACATAAAGAAGCAAATTTCCTGTCCTTCCCTCCTGTGACTGCAATCAAACTGAGATATGCTTGTCTCTTGACCACCCTCTGAGATGGCCCAATGAGTAATTCAGTTGTCTAGGAACTGGTAGGGAAAAGTCAAATAAGAATAAAATCAAGTGGATAATCTATAAGACACCAGTCAGTAGTGGTGCCCAGCACTCTCACTTGAAACACAATGCCTCTGGGGCAAAGCAGCCATTGATTCGTACCCTATCAACCAGCTTGATCCTCTACGGCCGAAGCACAGTAGCAGCAGTGTGTACCATCTATATGCTGTACTGCAGCAACTCTCCAAGTCTTCTCTCGCACCTTCCAAACCCACACCCTCTACCATGTCTAGAAACCAGGTTAGCAGGTACATGGGGATATCAACTGGCTCATTCCCCTCTGGATTGCTCATCATCCTGACTTGATACTACAGCAAAAAGTTTTATTAACAGGCTGCTATTGGACCAGGAGTGTTCCAGTTGATCGAATATTCAAATCAATATAAAAACACGGACTAAGTAATAGTAATGTAATGCAAGGGGTATACGCATCACTATTATATTTTATTTACAGCATAAATCACGTAAATATTAATGCAATTTTGCCTTAACTAAAACATAGCAGCAGAGAGCATTCTCACTCGCACCCTCAACTGATTACTCAGGCATTGCAGAGATTGCGTGTCATACAGTAAACTTCAAGTTCAATATGACTACTCCTCACCACCTTCTCGGGTGCAAATAGGGATGGCAACAAATATGAACTTTACAAACCCACACATCCCACAAACCAAAAGAAACCATGTTCAAATCTACATGCAAGCCATCAAAAACTTAAATACACAAATCTGTCCAATTATGGGATTTGTGGCTCCAAATAAGATATTATTAAACTGCACAGGTTTCAGAAAAGATTTACCAGGATGTTGCCAGGAATGGAGGGTTTGAGATATAAAAATAGACTGGAAAGACTGGGACTTCTTTCAATGGAGTGCAGGAGGTTGAGGGGTGACCTATTAAGGTTTATAAAATCGTAAGGGGCATAGATAAGGTGAATGACAAGGGTCTTTTCCTTAGAGTGGAGGGGTTCACAACTAGGGGGCATATTTTTAAGGTAAGAGGAGAAAGATTTAACAAGGAATCTGAGGGGCAGCGTTTTTACACAGAGAGTGGCTCATATGTGGAATGAAGTGCCAAAGGAAGTGGTGGATGCACGTACAGTTACAATATTTAAAAGACATTTGGATAAGTTCATGAATAGGAAAGATTTGGAGGGATCTGGGCCAGGAGCAGGCAAGTGGGACTAGTTTGGTTTGGGAAAATGGTCAGCGTGGTCTGTTTGGACCAAAGGGTCTGTTTCCGTGCTGTATGACTCTATGCAGTTGCAGATTGCAGTGTATGCTAAACATAATGAAATTTCAGCAGAAACCACGCATTGTGGCAAAGCTGAATCCCTTCCCTATTGGATGCCTGTCAGCTATTTGAACACTTTCTGTGTTTAGTCAATATGAAACCCAGTGTCAAGTATAGCCATCTGATGATATACACAAGTGATAAGTACAATGATTTCCTCAACAGGAAATGTTTTAATATGCAAATATTTTGTAGTAGTAGCAATTGTATTTGCATTAGTTATACCCTTCAACAAAATTAAAAACAATGTGTTGCCAAATTTTATAGCAGCATGTATCCTGTTTGAGTTTGGTTTACAGCATAACTGGCCATATAAATGCAGGAACATTGCTGCTGTCTTCCAAGAGTGATTAGGATCAATAGTTTTTGCACAGAAAAGTTGATTTTTACAACAATTCTCTTTTAGTTTTTACCAACGCTAATTCTGAGTATGGGTTGGCCATAAATTTGGAAAAATGTTTTAGCCTTGACAGAAGTTGACCAAGCAGAGATTGTAAACGAGTGTATATGTGCAGGCAACTGTATAGATAAAGGGTATTATTTACATTACTTCAGAATAATTTGAAACTGGCAAACCTCCTCGACTGTTTATATTTAATGGTTACCATCTAAACTGTATAGGTGAAGTGAACACTTCCTTTGTCGAGAATGTGTAGCAAAATCTTTAAACAATTTTATGGCATGTAACACTCAAAAGAATTTTCCCAAGCCTAGAAAGGAGACTTCTTTATTATTTATAAATGGGATGTGGGCAATGCTGACAGCCAGCATTTATTGCCTTTGAGAAAGTGATAGGAGCTACCTTCTTGAATTGCTACAGTCCAATTGGTGATATAATTCCAAGTCTGGATGATGAGTGGCTTGGAGGGGAACTTTCAGGTGGTGGTGTTCCTATATATCTGTTGTCCTTGTCCTTCTGGATGGTTGTGGTCATGGGTGTGAAAGACACTATCAAAGTTACAACTTGGCCACTCCTGGAGTACTGCATACAGTTTTGGTCCCCATTTTTAAGAAAGGGTATACTGACATTGGAGGCAGTTCAAAAGACATTCACTAAACTGATTCCTGGGATGAAGGTAGTTGACCAATCGAGAACACAATGTAGCAGCAGCTGTTAAGTATTACAGGTAATTTAAAGTGACTTAAAGTCAGTGAGGCAATAGCGCTGTGTTATTAATAGACTATTAATCCAGAGACCCAAGTCACGTTCTGGGTCCGAATCCCATCGTGACAGATGGTGGAATTTGAATTCAAAAATTTTTTTGTTAAATATGCAGTTAAAGAGTCTAATGAAATCATTGCCCATTATCAGAAAAACCCCATCTGGTTCACCATCATGTCCTTTGGGGAAGGAAATCTGCCCCTCTCACCCAGCCTGGCTTACATGTGGCTCTGGACCCAGAGCAACATAGTTGACTCTCAACTGCGCCTCCCCTGTGCAATTAGATGTGGCTTATAAATGCTGGCCTAGCCAGTGGCAGCCACATTCCATGAATGAATAAACCAAAAGTTGTATTTAATGTGACTTAAAGAACTTGTGTGGGAGAAAGCATCGTCTAATTGGCATTTTCTCTTGTTTCAGAGTGTACAAAAACGGAAAGAGAGCTGGACTTTCTAAAGACAACCTCTTACTTCGAGGATGCACAGTTAGAAATACTGAAGAGGTTGTGGGGATCGTAATCTATGCAGGTACTTTTGTTTGTGTTTGCGCGTGGTGTATTTCCAGGTTTATCTCTTTAAGAGTGAGGATCTTTCTCATTTCATTCCTTGCCACAGTTCAAGCATGTAATTTGCTGCAAATGTACTTGCAAAGCACCCAGAGTCTGAGAAATGTCTCTCCAACCTTTTTTTTGAAAATGCAGTAGTCAAGATAATATCTTCTGGTTTCCTGACCAATGTAACACAATCGTGTTTAATTTCTGAAGGGCAGGTTAGCAGACCGAAGTAGCTGGTGTAGTTGGGAAAGTAAGTAGTCAGATTCAGAGGATTGGCGGGGTTTGGGATCAGTGGTGCTGTGGGGTTAGTGAGATTGGGGTATATGATAATTGTGTTGTGGGGCATTTTGAGGAGAATGGATGGTCGTGTTGGGTGGAGTAAGTGTGTAGGTGAGTGGGGTGGAGCTTTGGGTTATGCTATTAATCACCGAGTTGCACCAGAGATTAAACAGTGGACTAATTCTAAGGTAAGTCTCCAGGGAAGTAACATGGATCAAGCCTAGTTTTCTGATCAACGTAAGAAACTGGTCACCAGCATGGTCAGTACAAGAAGTTTAAACTTCCTAAGCAATTACTTGTGCACTTCAGCTTTCCCCAGCATTCCACAGGCACCAGCAGCTTAAATTCAAAGTATTGTCTTCCTGACAACAGAAGATTCCACTCATTATCCTTTCATCTTTTTATTTTCCTTTATTTCTTTCTGTCTTTTCCTTCATTCCTTCCCTTGCATTGTCTGTTTCTCCCCCTCACTGTGTTTCCCCAGTTGCTTCATGGCATATGCTTTGGAAAGATTGCTGCAATTTGTTGGTATTGAACAGCCTCATGGTAATGCTTGTACTTGGACTGTGTGTGTGTTCCCGTTTCTATTTTCAGAGATCTATGAATCAAATGTGTTTAAGCTTATTGCAGCATCTCACTCCACAATCATGGTTTTGTTAAGTCTTCAGCACTTGCTGCTTTGAAACAGTAGGCGTGTTGCTTTTAAAATTATTTGGCTTTAAACTCGTGTTTATTCTGAAGTCAGGCTTCAGGAACCAAAGGACCATCATTGCTTTTTTTGGGATTACTTGCTGACTTAGTTACAATGTGCAGTCTAATCTTATTTTTCTTGTAGAAGTCTGACCAATGAAGCAGGTAATTCACCATCTATAGGTGGAAATCAAACCACCAAGCACTGGATTCATTCAGTTTGTCAGCAGAAGCATTGGTTTCACTGTGATTTCTGAACCCATTCAACCAGAGTTAACACTGCACCAGGTAGCACTGTAACTGAGATGAAAACAAAAAGTACTGGAGAAACTTAGCAGCATCTGTGGCCAAAGAAACAGAGTTAAAGTTTTGAGCTGAATATGACTCTTTTTGTTTGTTTTCTGAAGAAGAGTCACACTGGACCTGAAACGTTAACTCTGTTTCTGTCTTCACAGGTGACGCCAGACCTGTTGACTTTCACCAGCATTCTCTATGTTTGTTTCAGATTTCCAGTATCTACAATATTTTGCTTTTATTAGAGCACTGGAACTGAAGGTTAGATTGAAAATTTGTTGAGTTAAAGCAAGCGATAGCTATAAGAAAGGAAACAAGTTCTGATGAAGAAACCATGGGTGCTACACATTTGAAGAAACAATCTGATAATTCAGAGTGACAACATGCAAAAGAAATTATCTTTGAGTGTGTGAATCTATCAGAGTAGCCTGCAGTACATTGCCACCCGTTTCTGTTTATCAAATCCTAGAATTTTACAGTGCAGAAGGAGGCTATTTGACTCATGGTGTCTGTACTGGCTCCTGAAAGTTATGTTAATGACAATTGTACATCCTTGGTACCCTGCCAAGTGGTGTGCTAAAGAAGAGCCACATTTTTGTCATCTGTTTGTCACAATCTGAGTTTGGAAGCGTGAATACCCACTGTGCTCACTCCTGAGTGTTGCTGCTTCCGTCTGCAAAACGTTAAAGGTATTTCCTCATCAGCTGATCAGTAAGGACTTTCCAATTATTAAAATGTGAATGAACAAACCTTGGGTCACCAGGGGGCTTTTTTATTTCATTTGCACTCCTTGCTCTTCTGGAAGGTTATGCTCCACAGTTAGTGAGCTTCACTACCTGACCCTGTTACAGGTGACCCAGCACAACTTGAGCACCATGATATATTCACCTTTGTACAGCTGAGCTTTGTGTATTTGAGCTGACTCTCAAGCCTCTGGAGGATCAGTGCTGTAAAATCAGTACAATTTATATATTTGAGGAGATTGATAGCAAAACCAGTGGCATTGGATGCTATCTATATCTGAATGCAGTTGATCATGTTTCTGCATGAAAGATTATTAGCAGAAGTGAAAGCACATGACATCAGAGGTAACTGTGGAATTGTTTGGTATTTGGTCAAAGTTGGAGCGACTGTAGCAATGAAGCGCCCATTATCTCAGAGAGCTGTGATGAGTGGAATGCTTTCTGTTTAATGGTGTTTTGGGGCTGTGAGCTGGTGGTTGGTGAATGAGAGATTTTGCAAGTTGATTGTAACATTTGGATATCGAGGCATCCACCAGCAGATGCAATCCTTAAATAGATCAATCTAAACATAGACAAATGGACAAAATTTGCTTTGGTCTTATTCTAATAATGGATTAATGAATAAAGAAACAGAGAGATGCACGTCCAGGTTTGCAGCTAGTATTGTTAAAAGGCACAGAAACCTGTGGAGATGGCAGCAGTACGTTATAAATGGGCACAGCCAACTGAGCAATATTATAGCAGGTGCAGTTCAATATGGAGCAATAAGAGGCTGTGCACTTTGAATCTAAGGCATAAATGCGGATATTTTCTTAATAGCAAGAGACAAACGGCTACATACATAGAAACATTGAAAACTAGGGGCAGGAGTAGGCCATTCGGCCCTTCAAACATGCTCGGCCATTCAATATAATCCTCTGTCTCATATTCTCCCCATTTACTCTCCATATCCCTTGGATGCCTTTAAAATCTAAAACAAAACTATCTTTCTTCAATATATTCAGTGACTTAGAGTCATAGAGTCAAACAGCATGGAACCAGACCCTTCGGTCCAACATGTACGTGCCAACCAGACGTCCCAATCTGATCTAGTCCCATTTGCCAGCATTTGGCCCACATCCCTTGGACTTGGCCTCCACAGCTTTCTATCCTGGAGAATTCCATAGGTCAGGACCCTTTGAGTGAAGAAATGTTTCCTTCATTGTGGTTTATCCCATATCGTGAGACTCTGGTTCTAGACTCCCCAACCAGGAGAAACATCCTTCCTGCATCTAGTTTTCCCAGCCCTGTTAGAATTCTACGCATTTCAATTAGACCCCCTGTCATTCTTCTAAACTAGTGAATACAGGCCTAGTCAAACCAAGACAGTCCTGCCTTCCCTGGTATCAGCCTAGTGAACTTCTGCTGCAGTTCAACTATGGCAAGTATATCCTTCCTTAGGTAGGGAGCCCGTAACTGTACATAATCCCCAGGTGTAGTCCTACCAAGGCCCTGTATAACTGCAATAATGCATCCCTACTTCAGAACTCAATTCCTCTTGCAGTGAAGTCAGACCAAAGGCATTGTGAGGACTATGTGCACAAATTACTATCATACAATTTTGGAGATGAAATGGATGTTGGGTTGTTGGCCTTTGTCTCAAGAGGACAATTGTGAAGTGGAGAATCAAAGTTTCGATTTTTTGAAAGTCCTGGTCAGACTCACATTTAGAGTCCAGTTCTGGTCATTGTGCCTCAGTTTTGAGATGGATAGGGGGAGGTTACATTCTGGCCTTTTGAAGGGGTAGTGTGCATTCTGCCTGAAAGGTCTGGGACTTGAAAGGGTTACGTTATGACTATAAGTCACTGTTGACCAGAAACTTAACTAGGAGCAGCCAAATAAATGTTGTGGCTTAAAGAGCAGGCCAGAAGTAGTTACATTCTTAAAATTACTCTTTCATGGGATGGGGGTGTTGCTGGCAAAAAATTAGCAATGTGTTGCCCAATTGTAATTGCCCTTAAGCTGAATGGCTTGCTAGGGCCATTTCTGAGTGCACTTAAGAGTCAAACTGATGGCTGTGTGTCTGGAGTCCCATACAGGCCTGACCAGATATGAATGACAGATGATCTTCCCCAAACAACATTGGTGAACACAGTGGGAGTTTGATTCAGAATTATTCATTTCACCATCTCCCAGGCTGTTGGATTCTCAATTCAATGACATTACCACTGTGTCCTCCTGAGCTCTATAACCATTATCTAACCTGCTGACTTCCCCCACAAGTTGATTTGTTAGTGCCATATAACAGAGTAAGGCCAGAAGGATATGGTCAAGCTTCAGACAAATCTGATGTGGCTTTAAGTCCATGTTCCTATCTGTCTCCCATAAGCTTTGATTCACTTGTCAATCAAAGATCTGTCTAACTCAGTCTTGAATATATTCAATGACCCAGCCTCCATTCCGCACCGTGGACGAGAATTTAAACTCTTAAGAACCCTCTGAGAGAAAAGAAATTACTCACTTATCTCCATCATAACCCCTTACTTTGAAACTTATGCCCCCTACTTCTAGATTCCCCCAAAAGGGAAACAACCTTTCAAGCCCACTCAGAATGTTATATCTTCTAATAAAACAGTACTCAAGAAGCTTAACACCATCAAGGACAAAGCAGCTTACATCCACAAGCATCTACTCCCTCCACCACCGACGCTCAGTAGCAGCAGTGTGTACAGTCTCCAAGATGCACTGCAGAAATTCACCAAAGATCTTCAGACAGCACCTTCCAACTCACGACCACTTCCACCTAGAAGGGTAAGGACAGCAGATATATGGGAACACCTCCACCTTCAAGCTCCCTTCCAAGCCACTCAGCATCCTGACTTGGAACTATATCACCGTTTCTTCACTGTCCTAGGTCAAAATCCTGGAATTCCCTCCCTAAGGGCATTGTGGGTGAACCCACAGCACGTGGATTGCAGTGGTTCAAGAAGACAGTTCACGACCACCTTCTCAAGGGCAATTAGGGACGGTCAATAAATGTCGGCCAGCCAGCGACGCCCAGGTCCTACAACTGAATGAACTCCCATGAGTAGTGGCCCAACCTATTTAAATTTTCCTCAGAAAACAACCTCTTCATCCCAGGAATCAGCCAAATTAACCAGCTGTAATTGGCTTCTAATGCAAGCACGTCCCCGCTTCAGTAAGGTGACATAAATTTCTCACAGTGCACTGGGTGCAGAAACTAATGCGCTGTATCGCTGTAGCAGAATTTTCTTACTTTGACACTTCATGTGCCACGGTAGAACCCAAAAAAGGATTTTGTTTCTAAATTGGCAAATTAATGTTTAAAAACAAAGAGTCGACAGAAAAGATTGCAGGTATTAAAAAGTACGAGTGAGGGTGATATAAATTAAGAACTGTTTCAACAGCCATTGGGAAGCAGCATTTGCACAAGCTATGTGAGGAAACACCGAGGATCGACAAGTTCCGATGTTTGAAGTCCCAGGAGTTTTCTCGATATGGTTTCACTATAGTAACGATGCAAGATAAAAAAAAATCCAGGATGCCATAGAAAGCTTTTAAAGGGATATTCATATTTAAAGGGATAATAATAAAGAAAATTGGCACAGGCTGGTTAGATTTCTGTCAGATCAATAGTGGTAGATATTTTGTAAACTCCGTAAGGATTTATACCCATTGTGAATGATTGAGATAGATAACTGATGTGACACTTATGACTGAAATTTAAGTTCTGGGACCTAGATCTGAAAGTATTCTGTTCCCATCATGATGGATATTTGAACAATTTTAGTTGCACACCATTAATATATTGTGACAGTCTTTCTGAAGCAGACTTGTTGGTGTAGGGCTAATATTGCCAGCTGCCTGAGCTCTCGATAATGATGCATTCTTGGGTCTTAACCATTTTTCTCCAATTCTTTCAGGTCATGAGACCAAAGCTCTGTTAAACAACAATGGACCACGCTACAAACGCAGCAAGCTGGAAAGACAAATGAATGTAGACGTCTTCTGGTGTGTGATCATTCTTTTTGTGATGTGCCTTTTCTCAGCCATTGGTAAGTTGCATTTGTTCAGATTAAGGTAGTCAGACCTCTTAAGAGTGGAGTAAACAGATCCATGGCTGAACAGTGTTGAAATGGCACCATATGATAAAAAGGCTCTAAACCTAATCACGTGTGACTTTTAATTTGGAAGGGCTGCTGCATTTGAAGATGAACAAGTAACAATCCTGTTGAAATTTTTGCATATTTGTCAGACTTGAGAAGTAAAGAGCCCATACACATTCTCAGCATAACTGTGCACAAACATTTAGCAAGTGTCATGGGGAGGTGATGGCCCAGTGATATAATCCATAAATTCATTTAACGTACCGGAGACCTGGCCACAGCAGATGCTGGAATTTGAATTCAATAAAAAATGTCTGAAATTAAGAATCTACTGATGACTATTGCGGATTGTCAGTAAAACCCACCTGGGCCCACTAATATCCTACCTTGTCTGGCCTACATCTAACTCCAGAGCCACAGCAGTGAGGTTGACTCTCAACTGCCCTCTGAAATGGTCTAGCAAGCCGCTCAGTTCAGGGGCATCTAGGGGTGAGCAATAAATGCTGGCCAGCCAGCGATGCCCCTGTCTCACAAGAGAATAAAAAAAAAAGTTTGAAACCCTTTGTATATGCCCTGGCTGCCATTCCTCCTGCCTCCTCTCTGTTACTCAAGGACACCTATTAGAATGCCTCCAGTCAACCATTGGACTCCAGCATTTCTCCATCATAGTGTCTCTCTGGCTCTAGCTTCTCTCATCTGCCATACCCAGTATGTTTCTCACCTGTTCTTGGATGAAACTCCCTTTCATAGAAGCATAGAAAATAGGAGCAAGGATTGGTCATTCAGCCCTTCAAGCCTGCTGTACTGTTCTATGCGATCACAGCTGATCATGTAACTCAGTATCCTGATCGTGCTTTCTCCATCTACCCTTTGATCCCTTTTAGCCCTAAAAACTGTATCTCATTCTTGAAAATATTCAAATGTCTTAACCTCAATTATTAAACAGATAATTATTCAGTTTTCCCATTTTCTGGGTGAAGGAATTTCTTCTCATCTCAGTCCTAAACGGGCCACTCCATATCCTTCCATGGTGACCCCTAGTTCTGGACTGCCTGTACTTCTCATCCCCCATGCTCCGTTGCTGGTTCCCTCCATCCAAGAGTAACTGAGCTCAAGGTCTTCCTGAAGTTTCAGTGAATTTTGTTCTTATTGTCACCTCACTTCACAGAACTTGTTGAATGTAAATTTTCAACACCACCAAAATGGCCGAATTGTAAACCCCACTGGAGTGATATTCCTTAATTTTCACTGGGTGCTTCCTGCAATGAGGAGCGCTAAACGGAATAGGGGATCCTAATGGCCAATTAAATAGCCCATTGTCTGTAATGTAACAGTAACAACGGGACTTTTGGAATACTGCATTCAGTTCTGGTCTCCCTGCTATTAGGAAAGATGTTGTTAAACTTGAAAGGGTCCAGAAAAGATTTACAAGGATGTTGCCAGGGTTAGAGGGTTTGGCTACAGGGAGAGGCTGAATAGGCTGGGGCTACTTTCCCTGGAATGTTGGAGGCTGAGGAGTGACCTTATAGAGGTTTATAAAATTACAATGGGCATGGCTAGGGTGAATACTCAAGGTCTTTTCCCCAGGGTAGGGGAGTCCAGGACTAGAGGGCATTGGTTTAAGGTGAGAGGGGAAAGACATAAGAGGCAACTAAGGGGCCTTTGGAGTGAGCTGCCAGAGAAAGTGGCAGAGGCTGGTACAATTATAATATTTAAAAGGCATCTGGACAGGTACAAGAACAGGAAGGGTTTAAAGGAATATGGGCCAAATGCTTGCAAATGGGACTAGGTTAATTTAGAATATCTGGTCAGCATGGAAAAGTTGGGCCAAAGGGTTTCTTTCCATGCTGTGTGTCTCTATGACTCTATGAATGGGACAAGAAGAAATCATAGGAAATAGTGACCACATAATAAATGGAAAGCAGATTAGGTAAGAGTTTGTAATTGGCACAGATAGATGAGGGAAGAGTTTGTCACAGTAATGTCTGGAAAGGGTGGAGCAGAATGAACCAATTGAGGGGGCCAGTTAGTGGAAGGTCAAAGAAATTCGGATGAAGAAATTCTTTGAAAAGTTGCTGTTGAAGCATTTCAGTATCCAGCACTTTTACTTTGATTTAGATAAAAATAATTCCAGGTGGAATTACTCTTGGAAGTTTGGTGAACAGGAAGAAATCTTTAAAAGGAAATGGCCATCAGGAATTTGCCCTAAACTTAGCTTTCAAGATCGTGTAACTGTTTCACACGTTAAAACTACAAACGTTGCTGCATCCATCGTTTCCATGGTGGCATTGCGTACTTCTTACAGGATGAGCTACAACTCGCCAATGTTTCTGCAGCAGCACCTTCCAAATATGTGACCTCGTATTGGCTAGTAGACATGGGCAGTAGGTGCTCATGGGAACTTCACAAGCTCCAACTTCCATTTTGAGTGAAATGCCATCCTGCATTGGGCATTTATTTCCACATCTATAACATTGCCAGCTCAAAACCCTGAAACAGCCCGAAAGAACGCCACAGTGGAAGTGACACGTGGATCCACTATCATCTTCTCAAGGAGAATTAGAAGGAACGCTGGCCCTGGGCCATGCAACTGTCTGAGATCTTGTGTGCTCTGTTCGGTGTCCCAAGTCATTGACCTTTGGTTTCAGAAGTCACTGCTACGCACAGTCCTTGGATATCCATACGCTGAAAAACACCATTAGAAGCAGCATTGTTTACCACTGCCATCCACAATTTCAAACATGAATCGTTTTTACAAGACCATTGTAGGCACCGTGGCACAGTGGTTAGCACTGCTGCCTCACAGCGCCAGGGACCTGGGTTTGATTCCTGCCTCCAGGCCACTGTCTGTGTGGAGTTTGCACATTCACCCTGTGTCTGCGTGGGTTTCCTCCGGGTGCTCCGGTTTCCTCCCACAGTCCAAAGATGTGCAGGTGAGGTGGATTGGCCATGCTAAATTGCCCGAAGTAGATTAGGTGGTTTATATGGGGATGGGTCTGGGTGGGATGCTCTGAGGGTTGGTGTGGACTTGTTGGGATGCTCTGAGGGTTGGTGTGGACTTGTTGGGCCGAAGGGCCAGTTTCCGTACTGTAGGGTTTCTATGATCTTCAATGAAATCTCAGTGACTTATAGACATAAGTACATTGAAACAGCTAAGTAGAAAATGTATCAGAGATAATAGGAATTGCAGATGCTGGAGAATCTGAGATAACAA